AAAAAAAAAAAAAAAAAAAAAAAAAAAACCAATGTAGGGCTTTATATATTCGAAGCTGGTATTCCAGTGGTCAGCAAGACTGAGAATTGTCATCGTGAGACAAGTGAGGAACAACAGCGGAGATGCGACCGAACTAGCTCAACTCATGGCCGGCAAGGATTACTGGCTGATGAAGAGCTCTATAATGTGAGTAAGACCGTGGTCTGGCTAATAGCGATGGCAGTGCATGCTTATTCTCGCCACCACCTGTCTTTTGGGTAGTTCCGCAAGTGAGCCTAAACCCATGAGCTGGTTCCCACTCTCACCCGTCCTAGGAGCATGTGTTTTTGACCGTTTGCGTCTTTCCTTACCGACGCTACGCTAGATGCTGACCCCTTCTTCCATGGATCAGTTATGATATCAAGAACCGACGTCTCTAACCTCCCACATGCCGTTTCCCTTCTTCGGCATTCGCCGCCGCAGACATACACCAAAATGTCTTTGTGTCAGTCACACTGGCGAGAAAGCAAATAGATGGTCAAGGAGAGGTCTGGCCAAGTCCAAGCTTCGCCATGCATCATCTGCATATACGGCCATGGACCACATGGTGCGGACGTGTGCGGGTGCCGAGCTCGCCCTGTGTTGACGAAATGCGGACCAGTGTTTTCGATGGCATGGTGCGAGATGTGGAATTTGAGTTTGAGCCTTGATTGTGATTACCCACCGTTGGAGCATCAGCTTACGTGCAGAGCCGCTTAGTTAGTCAACAACCGACCGAAGAGTTTCTGTAGTTTACCATATCAGTTACTAAGTAGTGAAGGATGCCAGTGGCAGTGTGGCAAAGAGTGGGACTATACCCAGTGATGGAACGAAGGCTGTTGTGGCGGAGGTGTGCTCTTTTTATAGAGAAAGGAAGCCTCCAAGCCGTTGGCCTGATTCCGATTATAATGCCATGTTAAGGCCTCATACCTTGAAGATTGTGTAGCTGGATGGTTTGATGACTTTTTGGGCGCGGAGTATTTGTCGTTGAACCGATTGCGCCCGGTGCGCTCGGTGCCCTGACAATGGTGACGTCGGTCTAAAATGCCCCGAAAGCGCGTCGTGAGACACCAACACCACGACACCTTTCTTGCTCTGGGTGATCTCCACCAAACAGCTCGGACGCCATGTGGCTCCTTACTTACCTTCGTCTGAAGCTCACTGTGACCTTCTATCGCCTCGCACTCCGCCTAAAAAGCCGAAGATGGATGCCTCTTTCGACGCCGGACTCAGTCCTGCGCGTCCCGTCCAGCGACCCTTCATACACTAAAGACATCAAAGTCCACGTCTACAACCCTCCCGCAAGTTCCCAGCCTATACCAGTCCTCATCAATCTTCACGGCAGCGGTTTTGTCTTCCCTCTTCACGGCTCCGACGACGCATACTGCCGGCACATCGCGCAGCGCACCGGTCACACCGTCCTCGACATGCAATACCGTCTCGCACCCGAATATACATTCCCAGCACCTCTGCATGACCTCACTGATGTGGTGAGACACGTCCTCGCGCGTCCGGACGCGTACGACACCACGCGCATCTCTCTCAGCGGCTTCAGCGCCGGAGCGAACGCCGTACTCGCGATCGCGGCGGACCGCCACGCGTTTCCGGCAGGCACGTTCCGCGCGGTGTTAGCGTTCTACCCACCAACAAACTTAGCGATTGATCCTGCTGAGAAGCAGGCACCGGACACGTCAGGAAGGCCGATTCCACCAAGTATGGCGAGGCTGTTCGATAGTTGCTATATCCCGCCCGGCACAAATAAGAGGGATCCGCGGCTCTCCCCGAGCTTTGCGGAGCCGGAGGCTTTTCCGGATAGCGTGATGGTGTTGACGGGGGCGCAAGACGGGCTGGCTCTGGAAGCGGAGGCGTTGGCGGGAAAGGTTGAGGGCGTGCCCGGAAAGAAGGTCGTGAGGAAGAGGTTCGAGGGAGTAGGACACGCGTGGGACAAGGTGAGGGCGAAGGAGGGGTCGGTGTATGAGAAGGCGCGGACAGAGTCATACGCTTTGGCTGTTGAGATATTGATGGAGTAAAGACTGGTTTTAAAAAGACGGACATGGAAGGAGTCTATGTGGTGGAGCTGCTTCCGTCGTGGTTTGGATGCAGACACCCTAATCCGCACTTTTGGTACCTACGCACTACGCTCAGATCAACTCTGCGGATCCGCACCGTTCCACAAAATACACCAGTCACGCCCAATGCAATATCACATCCGGCGCTGGAGCTCAACTCTGCTGATGAACATTTGGCAAAAGTTGTTCTACTCTTTCTTCCCCTGCTTGTTCTTCGAATCATTGCATTGCCGATATTGGTCGAAGTGTTTGACCGCAGAACGATACAGCCGTGGCACAGAATCCGGTGCAGCCTGTCACGTCTCTGCCATATCAAACTGAAAACGAAGCTCATGGAGAACACTAGGATGTATACATAAAAAGAAGCACGGCGAGAGGTAGCAAGCTGAATAGCCGCTCACGGAAAACAATTATCCGATACTGTTAACCGGACTGGTCGGAATGTACGTAGGATCAACAAGGTTCTTTGGGGCGGCGGATCGGGATCGTTCCGGAGCGAATTAAGGATGGGCTGATGCATGACGCGTGGCTTGGCCGTATGGCGGCCGGGTTCGTAGCACCGTTGATGCGACAAGCATGCATACTTTTAAATGGGGGTGAGGCTGAGCAGTGGTACTATTTTCGCAGGTCAGTATCACTCTCTATACTATGCATCTGCCCACCATACCTGAATTGTGACCGTGCGAGGAAAGGATAGTAACTTAACAGTACTCGCGTGCATGTCCGAAAGAACAAGAAAACATTATACAGATACCGTAGCGATGCGTTAACTCAATGAGTGGGATCTCATGTTAGGCGCAGCAATTTCACGTGGGGCAGCAACAGGCAAGTCTTCCGAGCTGACAATTTTTAGACAAAAAAAGCTGATTCCCTGGTGTTTGGCCCCCAAGACTGAGAATAGCTACTTAGTTATATTCTTGCATGAACAAAGGTTTTATAAAATGGAAGAACTTTCAGTCTTCATCGCGGTACCGGCTTTTACTCTAATCCCATTATGAGTTCACCTACGCTACCAGATTATTATACCGTTTACCAGGGAGTCTGGACCAATTCGGCTCATGGCGGTCGAGTCTTTGGTGCCACGCTAACTTTAAATCGGAGAGACGGCGCCCTCCTGGTTGCATTTATCGCGCTTTTTGTCACCTTGGTTGGAACAAGCTTTTGGAGACTCGTTTGCTACGCTTTTCACTACTATCGATCAACCGAACTCCCTCGAGACGGCCTTCACCACCAAGTTCAGGCGACCTTCAGAAATTCTGCCAACGGAGCAAGCGGTATATGGGGTCTCATCTCAATTCTTAGAGCTTGGAGAAAGGAATCGACCTCAAAGCAGCCATATCGCCAGGTCCTGCCGCCTATAGCCATCTCACTATTCATTGTTTGCGCTTTCGCTACGGCCTCAGGGTTCTCTTCCCGTATATCTTCAGCTATTGGTAACGAAGTACTCATCCGAAGCGATAATTGCGGAATAATAATGCCAGATAACCGGACAATCCTCGACCTAGCTACTGTCATAGGCCCGTACTCCCAACAGCGTGGCAAGGCTCACGCGAATTATGCATCGCAATGCTATAACTCTACCAATCCAGAGACCTGCAACATATACGTCAGAGACAGGCTCGATGTAGAAGTTATTAGAAACGCTAGTTGCCCATTCGGCGATGTCTGCACCAGACCGAACAACTCTCTCGTTTTGGATTCCGGCCTCGTTAGTCTAAGCGACGATTTAGGCGTCAACTTTCCACCGGCAAGGCACTTTTCTCTCCGATACAAAGCTCAATGTTCTCCCCTGAAGGTTGGGCCGTACCAAACGTTCCACAATTACACAGACGAGAGTGGTGTGACTACCTATGCAAGATACCATTACGGCCAGAATAACCTTTGGCGCCACAACTACACTTATGAGTATCGGGCCAATACCACCGAATTAAACCTGGCTCCGGCCCCGGATTACACAATCAGGTAAGATAGCAAAGAGCCTTCGATGGAACACCAAGTAACAGTTGCAGTGTAATGAGTGCTTCTCAATATAACGGCACATTCAAGGGCACAAGTTCAGTTTTCTACCCGATTCCAGAGCTCGATTATCCAAACGCCGACCTCGATCTCTACTTCCTATCGGCCAACGAGATCGGATTCGCACAAGAGGTCAAGGATGACTGGTACTCAGCTCAGCAGCCCAGCTTGACGCGCTCGAACATGCAACTAGGCGACGAGAAGCTACACACGTACAAGCAAGATACACCAGTGTCTGTGCTGGCTTGCACGTCGCAGAAACAGTGGTGCATTAGCAAGGACAGGTGCACGCAGCTTTTGAGCAACCACGATGCGGCGATCACAGCGGGCGACATGGCAGGCGACGAGGCGGCACTGGCGTTATTCAAATGGCTCGCCTGGGCGACGGTGCAGAGCGGGCCGAGCATTAGCATGGCAGTCTCTACGCTGGGCTCACAGGCTTTGATGGCCCGCGACAAAATGTTCGGAAGCATCCAGGGCCCTCTACCTGACAACCAATGGCAAATAGAGGTCGAAGATTGGTTCAACGTCGTCCTGGCTAACATGCAAGCTACGTACGTCGACGTCGCCACAGGTCCGGCTGAAGAGTCTGCTGTGCGGTTGTTGAAGCGTCCAAGCAATAAGGAGGAAAAGTTTCTTTGTCTGAATCAGGTAATTTTAGCCCATCAGCGGCACATATCGTAACATCACTAATTAAACTGTGAAACAGAAAATCCGTAGTACTGCCTATACCAATATCTCCGTCTTCGGCCTCGTCATAATTCTATCACTTGGTACCATTATCATCCTACTCTCGACCTTTACGGAACCCCTGATCGCCTTCATTTTACGGCGCCGTCGGGCAGATACTTATGCCCATCTTGAATGGGGTGTAAATGAGACTTTACAACTCCAGCGACTGGCCCATGAGGGTATAGGGATAGGGCGATGGAAAAATTGCAGTGATTCAGTACCTATAACGGAGAAAGGAGATGACTTGGGCGTGTTAGACTTGGATCAGAGGGAGCATGTAAGATTGAAGGCGCCGGTGGCCGGATGGGAGAAAGAGGTGGTGGCAAGAGTGGACAGTGTAGGGAGTGAAGAAAGCGGAGAAAGTAAGTGTGAAAAGGGAGAGGCTGGGAGTGAGGGTGGCGAAAGCCCGAGATGCATAAGGCCATGCTCTGATGAGATACGACGGGATGAGGAAGCGTAAGAGCTTGAGGGCAAGTAACGTGGGATACTGTCAACTGGTCCGACAACAAAGGTGAGACAGGCTTCCCGGTCATCTGTTCGGTTCAGGCGGGTTGGAAATCGCCTAACACATCTACCACCATATTCTCCTTTTGTATTTGTGTTTCTTTCTGTCTACCATGCAGTTTCCACCTCGTACGTGCTTCATCATACGCAATCATGGTTTCGGCTCAGGTATATGCTACTGCGGAACACATTGCCTCGTTGGATCTCGCTAGAGGACTGTGGTTTCCTGTACCACGGTATGTATAGAATATCCTTTAATAGTGAGATACCAACCTCCAGGGTCTCAGGTGCCAATATTTTCTTTACGCAGAGCCGTCAAAAAATCATGAACGCAAGACAATTGAACAGGTTGGTTTCAATAAAAGCTTTAGGAAGCTATTATGTATTGACTAAACGTTAATCATGAGCAGAGAATCTACGATCTCGAAAACCAAGCAATTAGCGTCGCAAGTCCTCCCTCTAAACCCAAGACCGCACCCTTGAACACGACATAGCCACAATCTCACGCCACATTAACCCAGCCTATTTTCGCAACGCAACCTTACGCTTCTTCTCCACTACCCACGCAAACGTCAACAGCGCCGCCGAAACCATTTCCGCCGTCCCCGCAAACACCAGTCCATGCCACCAGTGGTTATTACTCCCGATCAGTGCCTCCGCAATCGGCGTGCCGACCAGCGAGGCGAGTCCGACTGGCAGGCACGCGATGCCAAGGCGGGCGCCAGTGGAACCGACGTGCGGGTCAAGCGCGCAGACGGTGGGGAAGTAGAGAGATACGACTTGCGGTGAGAAGGGCGTTAGCTTTTGAGGTTACCGAAAGAAGAGCTGGGGATACGCACCTGAGCCGGAGAAGAAGCCGTAGAGGATGCTCACGATGATGATGCCGGCGGGGTTGGTGGCGGCACCAAGAGCGAAGACAACGGCGCTGGCAGCAGCGGTGCAGGGGACGTAGAGCTCCAATGTGCCGTAGTGGTCAGCAAGCCAATTCGGAATTGTCCGGCCGAAGACGCTTGAGAGGTTGATGATTGAGAGGAGCCAGGCTGCGAGGCCGGGAGAAATGCCGTGTTCGAGGGCGAAGGACTGGATTGCGAACCTGTGGGGTAAGGTCAGATGCGCGTTCCTTGATGAGTGCGAACACCGTTCCACCTGGCGAATACATACATCGGGAAGTACAGGCCGAGGCAGACGATGAAGCCACTCGAGATGATAGCCAGGTATGCCGGATCTCGAAGGAGCTCAGGAATGCTCCGTGGCTTGTCCTCTTTCTCCGCGGCCTCTTCTGCGCTGATACCGGCTGGATCCTTTTCCGTGACCGCAGCCGTCACATCCTCAGTACTGGAGGCTTCTTCTTTCACCTTCGTCTCGGCCTCTGTTGTCTTGGGTTGCGATACGAGCAGGTTAGCAGACAGGATGCATGCGAGAGCGATGAACGCGCTCACGCGAACCGTCCAGGCAAAGCCGAGGCTACTCGCCGTGAGTTTGCTGGTCAGGATCGAGAACGTGAAACCTCCGAGCGATGTTCCGGTCGTGATGATGCCCATCGCGAGGGAACGGCGCCGGGTGAAGTGTTTTGACACGATACCTGACACAGGGAGGTAGGCGAAGCCGAGGCCGGCACCCATGCCAATGCTGTGGTGTGTATGTGGTCAGAAGAGTTTGCTATGGTAAGGCATTTGATTTCGCTTACCCCTGGGCTAAGAGGATTGGTGCGTATTGTCCTGGTTTGCAGAGACTGAGCATGAAAAACGTGAAGATGAAAAGGACGGAACCGCCTCCGACAGTGAGGCGCCATTGGCCGGCATCAAGGAGCAGACCGCCAAAGACGCCCAAGCTGGCGGTAAAAGTACATTAGCGTTTGCTATCATGGAAGTACTTCTTCAGGAACACCCACAAGAACTCCAGGAAGAGTTGCAAGCTTCCAATCCATGAGATGGTCGATTCCGAATAGGTCTGCAGGTACATTCAGTGGTCGGAAAGATTGCGCGCAACCGACGATAAATGACTCACTTTCAGCCATTGGTCCTCGTAGAAGGTCTGGTAGCTCCCGAATGCTGAGATGGCGCCGACCATAGAGAACTGGAATAGCCATGCTCCCAGGACAGCCGACCAACCTCTTAGCCCTCCGTCAACATTGTGAAAGAAGCTGCCGGACTTGGGCGCCGATAAGATCTCAACTTCGTGCTGGTCTGTCGACTCCTTGCTTCTCGACGCGGACGGCATTGTTTCTTGGAACTGGAAGAACGTGTCGTAGGTTCCGCTGAGAGAAAAAGAGGCGTCGAGAAGAGAACAGTGATTAAAGGCGCAAGCAAAAAGAAAGGTGATGCATGCAGCAAGAAAGGGGTGACACGGGAAATCTTGGCTGGGATCTGTTCCAGAACATCGCGATAAGGACCAAAAGAATACCCAAAATGGAAAGAGGGCGATTACTGTGCAACTATGCGGCTTTTTTTTAGCCTCCTAAGGGCCGCGATACCTCTCCCTCGTCCGCTTGGCACGGCATCAGAGCGCGTCGTTATCTCTGCATCAGCTGATTTCAGCACAACGATAGGCGATGGTGCAGTAGGCCACGCACATTCCGCGTTCTACACCGGCCCAGACTCCTATAGTATGCATACACTCTCTAAACCCCAGCTCCCCGGGCGTATCGGATCCATCCGAGTCGGTGTCGGCCGCAGATCTGGTGAGCCGTAGAGCTGTTGAGCCGCTTTTTTACCCCCAACCCCGCAGATTCGTGACCCCGAGTGATTTGCATGGATCTCACGGACGTGGCTTCGAAATGAGAAAATGAGCCGATAGCAACTTCCTGCCGATTCACTTTTTCCTTATCATTGCTCCAGCTTCACTTGACGATTGAGATCTTACAGAGGTCATCTATAGAATGACATATTGATCTTGATCACTACGCATGTTGTAAGTAATACAGCCTTGCAAGATGCTAAAAATTTGCTTTTGTCATCTTAGAAGCAGTCTAAAAAATTAATCTATCAACATCTGCTCTTTATCTACCTTGATTAGATAGTAAGCTAATATACAGTAGTAATATGACCAGAAATTGCCCCACTACGGCCAAGTAGAGAATAGTCAGCGCTTACCAGCCCAGCCGTAAAGGGGACGAGGAGCGGTCGAATAAGTCCCGACTGGTATGCGTGCAGTATACTTGCAGCACACGCGCAGCTCTGAAAGTAGCCGGAATAACCATTTCACAGTAAGACTAACATCCTTGCTACGCAGGTCTCTGACATATCTCATTATGACTTATTCTGATTGCTGTCCGGCCGACGGTTGACATTTAATCTAGATCAGAGCATGTCCATAACCCTGCACACATGCGCGACATGCGTAGGACCGGCAACTGCCAAAAAAAAAAAAAAAAAAAAAAAAAAAAAAAAAAAGGAAGAAAGATGGTGAACGCAGTATAGCTCTGTCAGAGACAAGACCACTGAATGCGCGTCATATCCCGGCAATTCAACAGGCAGCAAGCCAACCAGGAAGCTCTTAATCAGAACTGCATGCCCTGAAGATGCAGTATGTATGCCTTCGGATGTGGGAAGACGCCGTAGCTAACCTAGTCAGAATGGCCATCCGCTGGGGGCCAGCAATGCCTTTCGCTACAGGTGGAACAATGCGGGCTGTTGGCCGCGATACAGAGGCTGAAACGGACGGAGTGGTCTAGATCCCATGCCTGATGAGACTGAAGAACATGGTGCAGTAGTTGCCTGATTTGTGAAATGCAAAGCCAAAAGTATCGCCGCAAGAAGCAGGTGGTGATGGCCGGGATCTAAAGGTAAGTTGTAAACTCAGCCCGCGTCCCGGTATATATTGAACGTTCGTCCTCAATAGCTTCTTCATCCTTAGTTTTTTCATTTCAACATCGGATCTGGACAAAGTTCCTCAACTACACCAATATGCTCACCGCCCCCTTCCTTGTTTCTGATCCAAAGCCTTCAATCGAGGCAGCGCAGGCGCTGACTCCCACCCAGACAGCGTTTGGCACCGCTCCTGTACCCTGGTCTCCTTCAGCATCGTCATACGGCTCCGCAGACGCATCCGATGAGGAGAGCTCGTCTTCAGACACGCCATGGACGTCGGTGGCCAGCTCTGTGGTCTGTACCCCAAACCGCGAGTCTCACGACGACCCCTACAGCGCGTACTGCCTGCCCGCGGACGGGCAAGAGAAGCTTCGGCTCGACCAGCAGCACGTCTTCATCCGGGAACATATCTGCGGCGGGCGTTTAATCCTCGATGACAGCGTGACGCTCAAGGAGGGCGCGCTCGTTCTCGACCTCGGCACCGGGTCGGGCGCCTGGGCGGCTGACATGGCTCGCCGCGTGCCTGCTGGTGTCAAGATCCAGGGCTTCGATATCAGCAACCGTCTCTTCCCGCCGGACTCGCACAACGTGGCTTTTGCCACTGGCAACGTCCTGGATTTGCCTACTTACCTGGAGTCCCGCGTCGCGCTTGCCCACCAGCGTCTCCTTATCTACGCGCTTCGGCGCCACGAGTGGAGCCATGCTATTGCCTCCATCAAGAACACTCTCGTTCCTGGCGAGGGAGTCGTCCAACTCACTGAAGTCTTCACTCCTTCCGGGAACCCTGGTGCCGCGCAAGAAAAGTTTCAAACCCTGCTTTCCGCGTACGTTTACTGGCCGTTCATCTCATATCCTGCTGACTGACTTGCTCTTGCAGCATCGGGCGCCGGCGCCAACTCCTTCTCGACTGCGGCGAGCAGCTCCCTACTCTCCTTGACCAAGCCGGCTTCGCAGACGTCACTAAAAAGGCAATCAAGGTTCGTCTGGGCAGCGCTGGCGGCGTGCAGGGCATGGAAGCAGCCGCATGCCGCATCGGCGCCTTCCGCGGCATGCGCGACAGCGTCTTGCTGGACGGCGGGTACGGCGTTGTGAGCTGCGCGGAAGGCTTCGACGAGCTGCTCGACCGCGTGGTGGCTGAGTGGGAGACTAATGAGTGCTATGCCGTTTACTACACCATCACTGCGCGGCGCCCGGCTTTGGGGTTTGTGGCTCCGCCTGAGTCGCTCAGTATGCCTGAGGTCTTTGACTTCCATGCCCGGCACAATGGCCATTGGCCTTTTTACCGCTATGCTGAGGACGACACTGTGCAGCAGGTCTCGTACAAGACGCTTGCGGCTGCTGTTCAGCGTGCTGCGAAGTTTGTCCTTGCTGCTGCTGCTGGCGAGGGAGACTTGCCCGTCGCTGTTCTCGCTGTCGCGGGTATGTCACTTTTCCCCTTTTCTTCCACCACTTACTGATTAACCCTGAGACTCCATCACCTTTATCACGACCATGCTCGGCTTCTTTAGAGCAGGAGTCAAGGTATGTACCGAACACGGGTCTCCTCAATTTTGTCTCACCTTCCCCCTAGGCCTTCTTCATCTCGCCCCGCAATTCCGCCGGCGCTACATCCCACCTCCTGCAAAAGACAGGCTCCCAATGCCTCCTCGTCAGCAGCGACGAGGGTATGCAGCAGCTTGCCGAAGCAGCCATCGAGCAGGACAAGCTTTCCGTGTTGGTGAAGCCGATGCCGACGTATGAGCAGCTCTTCAAAGACACTCGAGAAGCATCAGTCCCACTGCTCGGCAGCTACGACGTCGACGCCGTGGCTCTAATACTGCACTCGTCGGGCTCGACGAATTTCCCCAAGCCGATCCCGCTCACGCACCGCAACCTCATCGAGTGGGGACGCGGAGCCCACGGGGAGCGGAATTTCGAAGGCGAGGTTCTCGGCGGCCACAGCTTGGCGTTTTTCCACGCCATGGGAGTGTGAGTAGACAAGGCACAAGGCACAGCAAACGCACCATTGCATGAACTGATCAAGTTCTCCAGAATCGCACCCCTCTGGTGCGCCAGCACAGGCATGCAGCTCGCCGTCTTCGCGCCGCGCAGCCCGCCCACGCGGCCTACGCCCGAATCCGTCTACACCGCCACCGTAGCCACGCAATGCACGTACGTCTTCTGCGTGCCCAGCCACATTGAGCGCTGGGCCAGCATGCCCGAAACGCACGCCTACCTAGCACAGCAGCTCAAAGCGCTAGCATACTGCGGCGCGCCCCTCGGCGCCGACGCTGGCTCCCTCCTCTCCGCCAAAGGCGTGAATCTGCAGCCGTACTTCGCCGCTACCGAGACGGGCGGCATGTCGCTGTTTCTGCCGGGCGAGCGGTCGCGCGCGCAAAATGGCGGCTGGACGCGCTTCCGCGTCGCGCCGCACTGTCGTGTAAGGGTTGTACCGCGGAGAGGAGAGGGGTCGGAGGAGGAGGGGGATGGGCTCGCGGAGCTGGTGTTCTTGCGGGGGCCGAGACACACGCCGTCGGTGTTCAACACAGAGTTTGCGGGCGAGCCGGCGTACACGACTGGCGATCTCGTGGTGCCCGAGACGGAGGACGGGGTTCCGTATTTCCGGTTCTACGGGCGCGAGGACGACCAGCTGCTCCTGTCGACGGGGGAGAAGACGAACCCGGCACCGATTGAGGCAGCCCTCTTACAGGACGCGAACGTGGGCGGCGTGGTGCTCTTCGGCGACGGGAAGCAGCAGAACGGGGCGCTGGTGCAGGCGTCGGCCGCGTACCTGTCCCGGGAAGAAAAAGAAGAAGAAGACGGCACACTCACGCGCGACGAGAAACTCGCCCGTTTCCGCACCGCCATTGCGCCCGCCCTGGCTAATGCGAATGCGCTCGCGCCCTCGCACAGCTTCATCTTCCCCGAGCTCGTGCTGCGCGCCGACCACGGCCCGTTTGAGCTCACGGCTAAGGGGACGGTGCGCCGCCGCCACACGCTGCACGCGTTTGCGCGCGACATCGAGCAGGCCTACGCCGAGGTGGAGCGGTCCACGCTGCCGGCGCTGCGCGGCCCCCTGCCGGGTGCTTGGTCCCTGAATAACACGGCGGATTTCGTCGCGGCGGTTGTGCGCGAGGTTGTGGGCGAGGGCGTGCCGCCTGATGCCGATATCTTCGCGTATGGCGCTGATAGCCTGCAGGCGACGTGGGTGCGGAATGCGCTTTTGCGCGCGCTGAGGGAGGCGGGGTTTAGGACGAGGGAGATTCCGGCCGAGTTTGTGAGTTCCATTGTCTTGTCTTTGATGTATGTCTCTTGGCTGACACGGTATTTTCTTTGTAGGTCTTCCATTTCCCAAGCATCCAGCAGCTGTCGGCCTTCCTTTTCGGCTACAGCTTCTCGCACAACGCAGCAGAAGCAGCAGCAACAGAAGAAGACGCGCAAGCGGTCGTCTGGCCCGAGCTAGGCCGCCCAGGCGAGACCATCGTCAAGCTGCGCGAGGGCGAGAACCCGCTCATCGTCATCCACGGCGCGGGCGGCACCATCCACGCCTTCCCGCCGCTGCAGGAGAAGTTCCGGAGCGGGCTGTGGGCCATCCAAGGTGCGCACAATACATGCCAAACCCACCTCGCAGCCAACACTAACGCAACCAGTAACGCCCGACACGCCGCTCACCTCGCTCGAGGCCCTCGTCGCCTTCTACCACGCGGCCATCAAGCGCGCCCAGCCCCGCGGCCCGTACCGCCTCTCGGCCTTCAGCGCCACGTCCATTGTCGCCCTCGCGCTGGCCAAGCGCCTCGAAGCCGACGGCGACGCTGTCGCGCAGCTCGCGCTGCTGGACCACGTGCCGGGCTTCTACGCGTGTCCGTTCTACGGCATCGACGCGGGCATGCTGCAGGATGAGGCGCGCCTGAGAGCGTTTTACGGCATGTGCTGTGAGGGCATCTGCGACTTGCTGAGGCGGGACGGCGGGGGCAGGGTGCCGCGGCGGCACCAGCTGGCAAGGGAGCTGGTGAGTTGTTGTTTGCTGGTTGCTGTTTGACTGACAATGACGGCTGGTGATGCAGGCGGATGCCTTCGCCGGCAAGCCCGACGTCCCCGCCTTCTCGGCCACGTACTGGCGCACCGTCGAGCACTTCCTCTCCCTCATGGTATGCACGCGCCCCTTCCTTTCCACACAACGCAGATTCCTCACTAATCGCCACGCCACTTCGGGCAGCTCGCGTTCATGCTGCGGCCATCCTTCCCCGGCATTCCCGCCCCGCCGCCCGGCGCCCCTGCTATGTCCGCCTTCCTGGCCTGGCAGCGCGAGCTCAAGGCCCCGGTGTCGCTGTACCTCGCCACCTCGGGCATGGCGACGACAGTGCCCGCCGCGTACAGGGCCGCGTGGGCCGATATGGGCGCTAGGCAGGCTTGGCCGGATGCCAGGGTCTATGAGATCGAAGGTGGGCATTTCGATATCCTCGGGAATAATCGCTTGGTCGCGTTGTTGCAGGAGGAGTGGCGGGCTTGATGAGCGAGTATCTGTTGCTGTCAAGCGCGATTTTTTACCGTTATGCGAAATAGAAAATGCCATAAGCTGTCCCTGTAGAGTAGAGATTACTTTTTGTCTGCCTACGAGCTTGCGTCCTGCCTATGCGTGAATGGGTGGCGTCGTAGTTGAAGCTGTGCCCAGAGAATTGCCTGCTGTATGCTGAATATGGCTTTTCAAGCCGTTGCCTAGCTGAAAACGCCCGAAACGAAGATGCTTCTACATGGTGCTACTAGGACTAATCGTAAGATGGCTAAGCTCAGGATCAATAATCGCGTGGAGGCGCGGAGAAGGCTCAAGGTTCGGAAGGTGCCTGACAGTGACCGGGTTTGTCTGTCATGAACTAGGTTATGTTCTTATTATTTTATTGCGAAACAGAAACTTGATAGCGAGTGGCAGGCTAACGAGTGAGATTCTTCCTCTGCTTCCATCACAGAGTTTTTTCTCGTTATTTACTTTGCTTTTTGTCGTGTCGTTTCAACTACATGCTACACCCCCTGCTACATCCCGAAAGTGAGCACCTAGCTGCTCTGCTCAACTAGTTCATGTATATAAACCTCGCTTCTAGTCTTTTCGATTCAGCCGCAGTTTCGTCTTCACTCATACTATTTATTCAAGCATACCAATGTCAAGGAAAAGTACACGATACATATGACAGAATCCGAACGCTTCAGATATAAGGAGTTTTGAAATAGGAAACCAGAGAATTCCCTTCTACAGAAACGCCACCAACGTTCCTCTTTAATCAAGCATACAGCTTCCCTACGACAGGAGGACTAATCACCATACTGCTAAATGAGATATGTCCCACACCATCCCGTCCCTCACCTTTTTTCACAACCCCCCAACTTACAAGCGAGACCGCCGCATCCACATCCTCCTTCGGCGGGTGACAGGCGGCACTGATAGCAGCACTACAGCTACTCGCCAACGGCATTTCAGCCGGATACTTTCTAAACCCCAGCAACACACCACCAATGACAATTAAACTCCCGACGATTGTTGTGAAGATAATCGCTACAGGGGAGTACCCGCAAGTCGTGATACTCCGTTTTGTATCGGTTTTTCTTTCCTCGTTGACGATGATGACGCTGACCATGAACAGGCTTTGAGAAGCCAACCAGTGCAGGAGCCCGCTCATGATCGTGAGAGGCAGTGCGTAGCGGTATGGAAGTTGTAGCCAGTACGTGCTGCGCTGGTCGCCGGATGGTGAGGTCACGCGCAATCCTTTCGGGGAGCGGAAGTAGCTGGACCATTCGTGCGCGACTAGCATGCAAGTGTACAGCGCGTTGAAGCAAAGGTACAGGTATGATAGCACGGCCTGGGGGATGTTGGCCACGATAATGCCTCCGGTTATGGACATGGTCGTTCGCAGAAGGTTGTTTCCGTTCAAGGTGCCAAAGCCGGTTTTCCATAATGCTTTTAATTTGGTGGGTTGGCCGACCATGGCTTGTTTGATGAAAACGGCTGCGCAAATGATTGCGATGAAGTAGCTGTTTGTCTTAGCTTTGGGGTTAAAAAAGTGCTTTACGAAACTTACAGAATGTACGTCATGGCCCAACGCGTTTTACTGGCTGCTCGCACCCATCTCCGCCTTTCAGGTTCGTATCTCTCAGGATCGACATTCAGATGCTTTGGATCTCTGTATCCATGCAACGACATCCATTCCCACTCCTTCTCTATTAGTTTCTTCGAGTGCAAACATCGTCCTTTGGTTTCGGGATCAGGGTGATCGAGGAAGGAGCTCATGGCGTCGCCAATCGTGACCAGGTAATTATCTCTCGCCTTCCATATCATCAACAATATGCAAGAAGCTTTGATGAAGTTGCACACTATCACCGCAATGGCAATGCTGAGGCTGAACTGCAGTCGGCACTGCTCAACAACGACCTCCGCCAAGCAGTACTTCACGGGACTGCCGTATGGCGCCCATAAGTTTTTGTCTGGTATCTCGCCTTCTTTGTCAATGTCGCAATTCGCAACGGACCTGGAAGGGCATCTCCAACCGCTCGAGGGATAGTCGTCCGGGCGACTTTGGAAAGGCGGCACTTGGTCATTGTAGTTCAACTCCGCTGACCCGCCAGTGCCAAGAGATGTCCAGTTGTAAAATTGCTTTGAGTTGGGCTTGAGTTTAAACCACTGAGGCTTCCAGTGTGATGGGTCTCTCCAGATGACATTGTCCTGAACAAGCAACACATCGCCTAGGTTTGAGATGTACTGACCGGAGTACGCAGATAGGCATTGCTCAGTAGTCAAATTGCGGGGTTTGCTTGCGTTTGAGCCGATGAATTTTTCTCGCAGAACTGAAGACTCATTAACAAGATTGTTAAGCTTACGGGTCTCAACGTCCATGAAGCCAGTTGTGTTGTAGACGTCTCCGTTTAAAAACCCTGGCGTCACTGGAAGGACTTTGTAGTCATTTGCTTGCACTCGAGAGAAGATGACCGAGTTGAAACTATAACACATTAGCAAGGTATGCCATGCCTACTTCCAGAAGGGGAACGCACAGCAAATGAAGTGGTACAGAACTAAGAAAAAGCAGTATCCAAAGCATGGCTCTGCTTTTTCCTATGTGAGCCAAGTTGCGTATATTTGGCACACCCAAATGGAGCCATTTCTTCTTGTTGTGCGCCTTGACGAGCTCTTCTCGTGTCGGAGAACTAAGGACCTGCATGGAAAAGTTGCTGCAGCCCAGGAGAATTGTACTAAGCGCGTTGATGGCGAAATGTATCCATCGGCTCGTCTCCTTGGTCGCATTGCAGCTACCCTCGAAGATGGTTTGTAGTCCATCCTCCTCTTCGCGCAACTTGCTCCGCTTTGTTATCATTATCGTCAGTGTTATATTGACGACAAGGACAAGAACTGCGATGAATGCTGCTGCAATGGCGCTAACCCTCCAACCGGATATTTTGCCATCACGGCGCCTATCGCACTCAAGGCTTGTAAGGTCCGTATTTGACCGGGCTACATCATGCGTGTCTGTCGCTGGTGTTTTTGTTATCGCAGCGTCGGTTTCCGAAGTTCCTGTGCCAATGCATCTATCCGCCGATCAGTCGCGGTTACCGGCCCAAGATGTCGGCATCACTTACTCGGAGTAATCGGGCAGCTCAACATCATCGCTCCAGCTATCCAAACGCTCATAAGGCCTCCGTGCGCTACGCGAAGCCATGGCCCATCGGATCCTCGTGGTAATACGACATAAAAGAGTTGCGGAGAGGAAGGCGTAGCGCCGTAGGAGTACGGCAGGGTGTCAGCAACAATCTATTTATGGACATGTAGCGCAGCAGCCAAAGCAATGAGACCGGTACTATTTCGGCAGCTTAAAGACAGGCGTGACAGGCAGCAACGTGGGGGCTGGAAGTTGGGCGCGAATCATTGATCTGCAGGGTCAATGCTGGCACCCGCCAGGGCCCAGATCAGATCCTCCGGCCCAAGCGCTGTCAACTGCTCAGGTTTCAGCGCTGCTGCTGTGGTTATGCGCAAAAAAAAAAGATGTTCCAGAACAGCTGTTCAAGGCGTGATAGGCCTGCATGACACCATGCAATTTCCAGGGAGGCCAATTGTTCCATCGGAGTGGTTGGGTATGACGTCAATTGTGTGCGGGGAAACGCCCTGAAACCTGGAGGTTCTTTGAGGCATCGTCACACCAGCTCTGCTGACTACACTTTCAACCCCATCATCACATTCCAGTTCTGATCACGTACGAATAGTGCATCGCCAGTCTGGTATAGGCCGTGCTACACGACAGTCGACCCCTGGACGCGCCGACATGGAAGGATCCATCTCTTTCGAACAAGCCGACCAGACTTGAGGCTTCTGCCTCATCCCGTGTCTGTAACGTCCGCCGTAAACGTACCCCTCCGCTTGATATCGGCCCTCTCGATGCGTTCTCTGGTCTGGGAGGATGAAGTGGTTGGCCATACTGGAGGATGTTGGAAGAGAGACGCAACCACTTTGACAGGTAGCCGCCAACCTGCCGCAGCAAGAGCATGAACTCATCCCGTCTATGCCAGCAACTCAGCCGCTCTTCATAAGCCCTGCCAGCGAACGGCCTTCCATCGAAGAAAGAGATCCTCTTCAACACCAACATCCGTTGTGGTCTAGTGGCTAGGATTTGCCGCTCTCAGCACAAGAGCATTGCTATAACGCAGTACCGGCAAGGCCGGGGTTCGATTCCCCGCAACGGAATACTCTTTTGATGGTGTTCAGAGGGTGGCAGACGGTAGGGCGGTTGATATACAAATTTTTTGGTGGTGTTGGTATTGCGGTGGCCCGTGCACGAGACAGATTTTTCCGCACCACTCCGGCCGGCTTCTGTATTTCTTGGCAGTGATGATTTCGTTTTGAGAGACGGACATAGAGAGGTAAGATTTTTACATTGAGTTGTAGAGCATCGCTGGTAAAATTCCTAGGGCGAGCTTAGAGGGCGGTCCTGAAGTTATCCGGAGTTAAGAGAGAGAAACACTGAACTTCAATTGGATACAGAATACTTCAAGCCGTGGCAAACTAGGATCCAGCAGCTGTGTGAATGATGTCTCGACACTATCACAGGGCTTTTCTTCCCACTACATTTGAAGATACCATGGCTGCTGCCTTTTCGTCCTCCTACCGTACGTAACTCAGGGCGAAGGATAATAATTATATCATGCAGAGCTTACGGGACTAACAAAGCAATTTAATACTACATACGTGCTCAGATCTTGAGCTGTATGTATGGATAAACCGACTCACTGGCGAGCAAAATGCAAACTCAATGGGCCTTACGCTCTAGCCTCCCCACTTTAACTGCAAGAAGCAACATCCAAAGCAAATCCCTACGAGTCTCGATCAATAACATCTGTAAGTAACAAAACAATGCTCAAGAGAAGCCCGGGAAGAGCTATGGCCGCCTCGCGTCGGCGCCTCGGCCCGAAAATGCAAACACGCACTGAAGCCTCAACACCAACCTTTCAACTAACAAAAAAGAACAACTGCGCAAGCACAAAAAAATAGGCTGGCTGTGCTGGGAATCGAACCCAGAATAAGACGGCCACAACGTCTCGTGATACCTAGTGCTGTTAGTTGGTTGTTGAAGCTTGGATTATTCAGAGATGCTTACCATTTCACCACACAACCAAATTTGGTACTGGTTCTTTCGCAGTTTAACACTATGATCCCCAATCACACAGCAGAAGTATTGATTAGGATGTACTTCACAAGTTGAATGCATTGTGCTGAATGGTAAGCTGACACTCATGTCTGGGATACAGACTCTTTTTGGTGCATCACCAGGCCAACTTTATAGACCGTAGACTGAAAGGTCCTCATCCATCCCCGGAAGTGCCCACACCTCACCATCCTTGCTATTAAACACATCCAACTTCCTCACACCGCGACTTTCGAACCCAAGACTCCGAAACATTGCTCTCGATGACTCATTACTCGGGTAAAAGAGTCCCAGCACCGCATCTATCCCCAAAATTTCTTTGGCGTACTTCAGCAAGCCCTTTGATGCTTCTTTGGCGTACCCCTTTCGTGTTTCTTCTGGCACAATTGCGAATCCGAGATCCGGAGCCGTGTATGTCTCGCCAAGCAGCAGTGACACAGATCCAATCATCTTGCAAGACTGGAGCTTCTGCTGGATGGAGATGTCTCCAGAGACTTTGGAGCTGTTGGCACCGTCTGGTTTTAAACTGACAAGATACGTGCCGTAGCCGTTGCGGACATGCTCGTCGATGAAAAGTGTTGCGAGCCGTTTGCGAGCAGCTTCGCGCGTTGTGATGTGAGTGCTCTTGCCACAGAGAGAAGCTATGAACTCCGGAGTGTTGTAAAGGTATACTAGGAAATCGCAGTGCGCGTCTTTCGAGGGGTCGAAGTATGATAGGTAGAGACGAGGAGTCTCGATGTAGAAATTCGGGTCGGTCATTGTGTTCTTCTTCTGTTGACGCTGATGGGTTAGTTGATTATCATGAAAAAGGCGGATGGTATGCTTAAGTACAGTCAAAAGCTGACAAAGAGTGTATCAGCATGCAAAGTAACCGAAGGTGCGGCACGGTCTTTGCTGTAGGCAACAAAGAATCGTGAGTCATCCTCATTATTGCAAGGGTTTGTTTGCTAGGCGTTGCCGAACAAACAAACAGACAAAAAAAACTTTACATCACTCTGTTTAGATGGTCTTCCAATTTGAAAGGGAAAACTGGACAAAAAGATGCTCCAATAAACTTTCCATGTATAACCAGATTATTCTGTCCGGTTGACAGTTGCAACGTTTCTCTATACCGAGGTAAGCAAATGGTCACAACAATCCTAAGTATGCTGGCAAATATTTTAAAACCGTTTAATATTGATAACAACTGTACACGTAGTAACCGGTCCTGGTTCTAGTAAAGAGTTGAAAAGAAGCTAAAATGAAAAAAAAAAAAAATACATGACCATTAGCAAAGATTAACCTGCCAAGGACTGCCATGATCCGTTTAGCCATCGAGTTCGTGCCTGCCTTGCAACGGGGGCTCATCAGGCCGGTGCGGAAGCTCTGCAACGAGTCCGCTATCCAGTTCGGATGTGCCGTGTAACGGCGGTTCGTCAGGTCGGTGTGGAAGTTCTACAATATTTCCATTGTGGAGTTCCGATAGAGGTTTTTGCTCTGGACTTGTATCCTCTACTTCGAATACGGGGTTTTGCTGGCCCTTTGAACGTCTTCGACGTTTCATAAGCCATACCGCGAGCGAAACCAGGCAGATGATGGCAACTACAGCTGCAACTACAGACCCGGCAACTGTACTTGCTTTCGTTCCTCCGTGGCCTTTAGAGTGGCTGCCTATTTTTGTACTGGTAGCATTTTCGTTGCTGTCATTCACATTGGAAGTGTGCTCTATGAAGAGTTTGCGGACTTCAGGAAGAGTCCAAGTTGGTTCTCTCTGGCTGGTGCACTGTTAGATTGGAATTTATGTGACTCTGTATGCACTCACCCGTCGCTATACCACAACTTTACCATTTCGGGGCTGTCGTAAGCCGATGCGTTTGCAACGTACTTGTCAGACCATTTCAACTCTGTCATATCGAAGATTCCAAGACCTTGCGTGAAGTTGTCTTTGCTCTTCCACTGATTTATCGTTCGATCTCCAAGGTCATCATACGCGGATTCTAGACCCCCAATACTGAGCAATTGTCGACTTCCGATGACATGACAGGTGTGGAGAACTCGCTGTGAGATTGCACGAATTCCAGTTTGGAACCATCGGAATGCAGGTAGAGAAAGTATGTATATTTCACTCATGTCTGAGGGATCAACGGGGTCCCAGCCGCCAAAAACAAAACTTCAAGGATTAGTTAGCGGATTCCTACTGCATTTGGTACTAGAGACTAACATTTCGAAGGTGTCATTATGGCTTTGAGCACCAGCTAAACAGAACCGCTCACGCATTGATGGTGCGGGACCTGTAGCTTCCTGCCAATACCAGTCTTTTGAGACTGGGTCATAAAAGGTGATGTGGGAGAAAGAGTTAAGTCTGGTCGTGTTATGTGGGCTTGCCATTGGAGGGCTTTCGCCGCCCAGAGCAAAAAGCAAACCGTTTGACCCGAATGTTGGAACGTGCTGCATACGGCCGAAGATGGCGGTGTTGGAAGGTGGAAATACAGGGGCGGTGTCGTTACTCCATTTTCCAGATGTCCAGTTGTATGATATCATTCCGGTGATGCCAATGAAGTCACTTGCAGTTCCGTTGTATATTGGGTCCTTCTTTGCCGTAATGACGCCACCGAGAAGGAACCCAACATCAGATGTAGAGGCAGAGAGGCCACCTATAGGCCGAGATAAGTCATCCAAATCCACTGCATATTCTGTCGCATTACTCCATGACCCGCCACCAGTGCCCGTAGTGTCGAATTTCCAAAATGCTGAGCTTGGTGGTTCGCTGTCGTAGACCTGTCCGGCCCAAAGATACAATGAATCAGATGATGGATCAGCCCATATTTCTGGAAGATAGAAATATGGTCCATCACTGTTCTTCTCAATTGCCCGGATGGACACGGAGGAGGTATTCCAGGATGACCGGAGATCAATGGACAATGTGACATTATCTAGAACCTAGTTAGCAATGATATGCACGAACACTACAACCACTTCATTAGAAAAACGCACTCCGAGACCAATCGAACTGCTCTTCGCCTGTGGAGTCAGTGTAGTTCTGAGCTATCTTTCCACCGTCAATGTATACAAAATCTCCGATAAGGGCCGCTTGATAAAGTTAACTCCTGTTGTATGACGGACATATTGAATCTTACAGCCGTGTCCAGCTCGCCTTAGAAATTTGGTGGCACTTGGATTATCAGGCGCACGATGATATAAGGCCATTTGACTTGTGCTGGCAAAAAGCGTGAAGTGTTGGATATGTCTTTAGGTGGGATCGTGGGAGTAGGAGGAAGCTAAAGCAAGGCGAAGCCGCGAACCTCGGGTAGCTTCAATACCTACCCACATTGATGCCATCTGATGTCATGGTCACATGGTGCTAAAAAGTATTGATAAATAAGTTGCCGGCTCATTGCTTGCAGAGGAGGGCGCAATTGAATGATTGAAACATTGCAGTACCGAGAAATTTGGGTCTAGTACATACATATATCTGCAGTCAGCGTCTTGAATTGGTAAAGATTAACGGCCCGCATTGTCTAGGTATGCGGAGGCCTAGTCAGCCCAATTTCCACCTTCCGTTTAAGGATTAGGTAGAGGCAAAGGTTACCGCCTTAGTAATGACTTTAGTAGGGCTTTAGCCCTAAGGTACGCCTTAAAGACAACTTGTGCTGACAGGCTTTGCTAAAAAAAGGAGGAACATCCTAGAAAGCCGAGTAATCTAGCGGGAAGGCTGGCAGCGCTGCGGGCCTATAGTTAAATGAGAGCTCTACAGATAATTATCGCCTAGAAGCACTAGTGCACCCTCTACCACGCTCGAATTAGAGGCTGTGCCGCAACTTCGGTTGCCTAAAAATAGGGAAGATTTCGTGTATTCAAGACCTGGACTTCTTACAAGTTAATTACGCTAGATAAATCTGCCCGATATATACTGGCCTAATAGGTAAGTTTAGAATCGGGGAGTTCTTAGTTACCAATAGGACTATAGAAAAGTACCTACTATTACTTTATCTCCGCCGATCAGTTTATTGATATAGATTTACTATTATTATAGTAAGTACTATAGTTTGCCAGGCCTAGATGCGATCTGTAAGTAACAGCGATTTATATATTTTACCTCTATAACTAATAGTTTTAAAGTTTTCTCTAACAAACAGCGTTATATGTATAATTCTATATCTTCTAAGGTGCCTAACTTAAGGGTTGTACGTAACTACAATTTCAAGTATATTAGTTTTATAGAATAGTAATGCTTGCTATTAAGTCCAAAAAAGACGGGCTTTATACCTATAGCTAGCAGCTCGAATTTAGGCAACATGTCGTAGTTTCTAGGCTAATAAATAGCATACTTGCATAAATATATAGTAATAAAATGCATCTCGTATAGTGGCCTAAAATATATAAATAAATTCTCTATTCAAAAATAAAAGTAGCTGTTCATGCCTTGTAATATCCGATATATAACTATATAATAATAGTCACAATATATAATCGTTCTAAGAAGCTATTAATCTCTACTTATTCAAGACTTTTGCAAGTTTTAAGCCGGTTATAAACAGTATCTCACTTCTAAAAGTCTCGAGCTAGTGTACCCATCTCTTGTAGGTAATTATCTTTACTACACATGAGACGTTAAGTACAAAATAAACTTTACAATCTTATTTAGGGTATATGTCTATGTGAATCTAAAGCAGACCGAAATCTTTCCCCAAAAGGACGCCAAACCCATATGATACGTTCCTGATCATATTTAGTGAAGGGCATTATACTGATTTGGCCGGCGACGCTTTGTTTCCCCTACTCTTTGGTAGCCAATATCACTATCAGGTCCTGCATTCAAGCCTGGACCTTCACCCGATATCGGTATCGCCATTGACTTCGGCGCACCGATGCCATAAGATAAGTCAAAGGATGGTACAGGATCATGACGCCAGTCAAAGAGCCCGAGCAGCCCTTCTACTTGTCCATGCTGCGCCATCAAGCCGCTCTCTCCCATTGCCGTTCCTCCCACAACAGCCAGTGATCTAAAGTCGAACAGATCCAGAGCCAGATCGTCTACTGCATGATCTCCGGGAGGAGTATTGAAAGTCGAGGTAGGATTTGTAGATGAGGTCGGTCCCGTAAGCACATCAAAATGATCGAACGATAATGGTGGCGGTGAATCAGCGTGCGAGTCTGTAGTGCTTACGAGAGGGTCTCGATAGTGGTTGGTGGCGGATAAGCTGAGTAATTCGTCCCTTGTGCCTTGATAAGACTCAGCTGAAGACGCCGGAGGGAATTCTTTTTGGTGATAAGCTTTCGGCGGTCCGAGCAAGCCGCTGTCGCGGACACAGGCCTGGTAAAATAGCCGCGAAGTTTTGAGGCGCCGTTTCACGCTCCGTAGGGATCTGGACGGAGCATCGATTTTATCCCGGATGATGTGGTAGAGATAATCGGTGGTCGTGATCAACTTGTCCATTTGCCCCGAGATGATTCGAGCTTGGTTCGGGCGTTCTTGCATGATGAGGCGGAAGAAGTCTAGGCCACGGCTGCATGCATCGATTGCTTGAGCCTGCATTTCGACCAAGCAAACTCTCCATACTGTTTTCTCGGCGCCTGATTGTGGATCTTGGCTTCTGGCGATCATATCTCCAAGCGAATTGGAGATGTGTAGGAACTGGCCCAGCATTTGTTTTACTGTATCTTCCGCCACCATATTGCGATTGGATGGGAAAATGGCGTGAAGGAGGATAGTATAGAATGCTGTGAGCACAAGCTCTAGAGTATCGGCGCTTGAGATTTTCTCTTTCATCAGGGAAACGCAATCAGTGACGACTCTCCTGACTCTCTTGCAGAGATCTCTGGTGTCTTGTGAGTGAACGGTCCGAGCAAGCCTGTTATAGTGGTGCATCAAACGGTCCTGCCAATCCAAATACGCCCCTGAGTGATCGACTTCAATTATTTGTGGGAGAAGCGAGAAGTTGTGCGCCGCTGAAGATGCAATGCAGCTGAGGGGCCAAAACTCTTTGATCATGCGCCTCTGCACCGGAAGTGTCGAAATATTGCCAGACAACTCGTCGAGCGCGATGACAATGGATCCTGCGCTATCGATTGGAAGAAGGTTGAGTGGCATGAATGAGTGCAAAAACCGCACAGAGGACCTTCCGTTTTGCATGAATGCCCATAAGCTGAGCGCAAAGCTTGTCCACCAGGCGTAAGCCAACAGTTCTGTTTCGACCTTGGCGGACGTCAGCTAGCTGAACCAACACAATATGGCCGTGTCTCACTAACCTTTGGCACTGAGACGCCATTTACAGTGCTGAGCGCTTCGGTGGCTTCAGAGGAAGTTCTGTCTATCTGTCCAACCAAGCGACCCGCTAACCGGATGTAGCATACAGCTCTCCGGAACGAGCCTGAGCACAGCTCGTACCAACCCAAAATGAGCAACAGCTGAACAGTAGACAAGTTCGTAGCTGATGACGAGCGGTGTCTCAGCTGAGCTGCTGCCCACGCGATCATACTTTCGCCCTTTCTCCTGGAATCGGTGTCATCGTGCGCAAGATAAGCGGTGCCAATGATTGCGGCTAATAGGGCGTCATCAACGGATTTGTCCCGTAGGCTTCGAAGGAGAAGTGTTTTAGACACAATGACCGTGAGTGGGTGCACAGAGAACCAAGTCTGAATCATCTGCGAGTTCCTGCGGTCGTCTTGCAGAATATGAGCCTCCAGGTTGGGCCGAGGCGGGTCAAACATGGTCGTAGTAGGATCCGAGGAGATGCTCCTTGTGTAGTAAAGATTCCCTCCCTCAGCTGAATTTTGAGACCCAAAACATCCGACCTTGACTGAAACTGAGTTGACCAAGTCTTGGACGACGAGCGGTAGCACGCCGTTGATTCCTAACCGTGCTCGTGGAGTGCTGGATGTGTATTTTTCATTGGCAAAGCTTGCGGCGAAGTCTTCATCGAGGTCTGCGGCAATGTTACCCTCGCTGGTGCTTTTGGGGGTGGAGGGTAGCGAGATAGGCGCGGCCGGTGCAGAAGGTTCAACGGATCGTCTCCGTGGAAATTCAAAGTCGTAGGTACAGTCGATGCCACGCTCCCGGCAAGCGTCGCATATACGTTGTCCTGAGCATCGGATCTTGCGAGTGCGACAAAAGTTGCAGCTCCGACGGAGCGATTTCTTGGCTGATTTTATCATAGCTGCGGGAAAGTTGCAAGATCAACACCCTGTACCTCTGTATGTATATATACGTGCTCGTGGCACAGCCCGTTGACTGCTGAATCAGCGTAAGCTGCCAACGGATGCATATGCAAGTTATAATCGAGGGAACATCAGCGCGGATGCGGATGATCTGTCTTTCTTAACATGAGAATGACTGGCATACACCACCTTATACAAATCTTCCTTCGTGACGCACTCCTCAAAGATTCTTGTAGTTTGGTGATTGCGTTGAAGGCATTGAAATAATTGTGAAGGGTTTGAAAGGTTTCAGCCTCTGGATAAGGTAAGACTGAGAATTGTTGCAATCAGTTATGTTTGAAGCAAAGAAGAAACCGATAAATGCTCGAAGAAAGTTTTCTAGATTCCAGAAGATACATTCGGCGACTTTCAGTTAATGATTCCTGGGATTTTGTGTTGGTACTGGAGGCCCACTTTCGTGCATTAGTGCTGACGTATTCCAACTACCGCAGCTCCCCGCCCCTAACCTGATACACTTGCAGACCTATAAATAAACAAAATAGAGTGGCGTATCTTTCCTTCTTTAGTAGCGTTAGGACTTTGAGATTTTCATGTTCATATAACCGCTATTCACCCACTATTTTTGGAGTGTGCTAAGTGGAATTACCTCCTATCTATAACTATAGAGGGAGCTCGGTATTTATTATTAAAAGAGCTGATAATGCTGAGATAGTAGTAATCAAGATGCCTTTCGTAATACTATACTAAGAGCGTTAACTCAATCCGAGTAAAGCGCTGTCTCTTCATTATACCAATATAGAACGAGTAGAAATTGATTATACTAAAAGATATTGCATAACGTAGAAGTATATTGTCTGACTATCTCAGGCCTTTGTTCGTATGTTACTAGTCATAACTTAAGTAAATGTCACACTAAAAGCAACAATTTCTGGAAAAGTTACAATAAACCTATATTTGCATTGATTTTCGACGTACCACACTTTGTCAGAGAATACAACAATAGTAACAGTAGAACTTGGCCTCGCGATAGGAAGCATTTACTTTCTGATAGGGTAGAAGGCCATTATCCGGAGTTTTTAATGTTGAATTGACACAAAGGCATTGTTTAGTCCTTGACCCGGTTTGTTTAAATAGGCATTAAGATGAGATGAAAAACGAACAAACAAGTCAAAATGGCTGATAGCAACCCCGAACCGACCGACAACATGTCAAGCCTTGATAGAACTGTTGATGAGGGGGCTTCAACTGGAGCTCGCCAAGCGAGGGCAGCTTCTGAAAGTGCTGCGTCGGATACTTCAACCTTAGTTCACCAGCCAAGGGGATTCGATATGGAACATCTTCGGGATACCGCTAGACAGTTTGTCAAGGATCCAGACGAGTTTACTCGCGATGAGGTTGCCATGCTCATCCAATCCTTTCCTGCTATCAGCAATCCAGACTACGCTCCTTCGATCTGCACCATATGCCAGAAGGAAATGGGTCCTGGGTCAATTGTCTGCCTTGGGTGCCCAAATGACCTATACCACGCGGTGTGTCTACTCGGTTGGTTCACTCGTATCGACGACTATACAGGTAGTTATCGACGTAAATGTCCCAACTGCAATATGCCACTCTACAAGGAAACGTACGATGGGTTTGCCCGCCGCGTAGCTGCACTTGATGACGTGAGTGTAACTGATGAGGACGACCCAGAGCCAGAAGACGAAGATGACGAGCCCGATACACACGAGGCTGATACACCTGAGTCTGGTCCACTTCAACCTGCTCACGAACCTGATACCCCTGAGTCTCCTAGTTCTCAGGAGCTGACGCTTTACCAGCATGCCCTGGCCAACACAGTTCCGTCGATCCCCGGTAACGAGATTGAAAACCGGGAGGAGATTGACGACTCCAGTCATGAGAACAACGCCACTATCGATGCCATGCATGGCTGGATAGTACGTGTTACGCCCTGGGATGAGATGCTGGCAATGCGCGAGACGGTCCAGCCCCATGGAACAATCGATTGGCAGAAGTTGTACGCAGTCTTCATGGGAACCAAGCACCGCCTCTCGCAGCGCCTGACCCCCCTCAGATCCCATCCCAGTCTCGCCCAGAGTGGTCGTGAAGTGCCGCAGCTGGAAAAAGAACTGGACCAGGGTGAGTACTTGTTTGACAATCAACTGAGGAGCACTAGCTGGCGCATGGGAATGCACGCATCCGCACGTCTAGCCTTGGGTCTCGGTCGTACGATTGACGACCTTGACAATGAGCCTGACCACCTCGTCTGGTGGGACATCCTTGTCACGTACGCCCAGGCATATGATTTGCCATGTGATGCATCAGTTGCAAAGATGAGGGAAGCTCTGCATGCCTTCGTCAATTCACTGGGCCATGGCTTCCGATCATATAGAGAAGAGGCTCTCTTGCGGGGGCTGGTCTTGGAGCTTTCTAGACAGAACTTGGCCATGTTTATAGAAGACGATGACATGGCCGCCGAGTGTCAGATTCTAGAAGAGGCAGTGAAGGGTGCCCACTGGTACAGAGCTCAAGAAAACGGCACACTAGATCTTCGTTGATCATGGATGACGGAGGAGAAACACGGAGAATGGAAGCTCAGCAGCCAGCAGTAAGGGTATATACTCTGCTTGTGAAGCCGATTTTGTTTAGCTGACTTTTCCAGGTCTTTCGTTTGTATGGCGGATCTTTCATCTGTTCTGGGTAGTTGCTTCAACACCGTTGTTGGGGAAAGATCCTAACAAAAAACTAGAAAAACAAAAAATGTATCCTAAGTGAAAAATAAAAAATAAAAAATTGAACCAACCTTCTCTATTGCCGACGTGCGTTTAGTTCTATATATATATATATATCCAAGAGCCCGTAAAGTATGGAAGTTGCCCTGGGCCGCGATCCTGAAGATCTTGCGGCTCGTGCAGATCGCCTTCATCCAGGTGATGAGGGCTTCGAGGGCCGGGGCTGTGACGATGGAAGGGAGCATGATCTTTCCATCCGTGAGGGGCAGGTCTGCAAGGCTGAAGGCGCCCAGCATCTTCACATGGATGTTGAACTGCCTCTTGTTGCCCTCAGTGTCGGTGACGACCAGGGGAATATATATATTCTGTAGTACACGCTGGTTACAGAACTTATACTTATTCTACACTATTCAGCGGACAAAAAGCTGAAGAGTGACAAATACTATTGAGTGACAAATACTAGACAACTAGACAAGTCGGACTTTAGGTGAAGAGGCTTAAGAATAAACATCCTTGTTCCTTTTAACGAGTGCTATCTAGACAAGTATATATATCTTTAGTAGATATTCTAGAAGTAACTACTAAGGAATATAATAGAAACATAAAGGAAAACTCCTAAGAATCTAGTAAAACTTTCTATCCGGAGGGATAAATTCTTAATAAAGAAATCTTTTAAGTATTATCTTAACTTCTAATAATAAACATTAAGGTAATCTAGATGAACTTCCACGAAATTTATAATTCTATGCATATATCCGTTTCCACATTAGAAAGCGCTCTAACCTTATTAAACCTCTACTAATCCCTCTTTCTCAACGCCTACCCTAAACCCCGTAGATAAATAAAAAATGCATTGTTTATTTGTTGAAGCCCTACATTCTAAAGCCACAAAGCCCCTATACAGCAAGCACAAAATAATACATAGCAAGCAGCAGGACAAAGGAGAAACACAACGAGCAGGGAATTCATGGGTTAAGCCGTCCATCGCGACTCACGTGAATCTTTGTATCTCTTTTATATCGCCCGCTGCTGAACCTTGATAGAACTATCCATCCTTTACACCACATTCTTCCACGCAATCGTTCCCTGATGCACGCACGCACGCCGGCCGACAGGAAGCAACCATGCCGATCCGGTAGCAAGCCGGCAAACGAAGCCCACTGCGTCATCTTTAAAACAGCGGGCACAAAGAAAAGCAAAAACACGAGGGCAGGAGACCGGCTTTTGTTTGCTATGTCGCAAAAGTAAAACACGGAAGGATATACAGACAAAGAAAAAGGGTAACTACAAAGCCTTTTACCAATTAAAGCGACAGTAGCTCCCTCAACTGGGTTTCTACAGGAAAATTTCTTTGCGCGCATGCATATGCACCAACCTCAAAAGCAGTTGATTGAGATAAAGCCAGTGGCAGTAATTAACTACATGAAAAAAGCCCCAAGAGGGCGACCAGCATCAAGCACGGCGTCCACGTCCACAAGCTCTCGCATTTACAGAGTGTTACCCGCGCTCTTAGGGACAGAGTCGATGATCTTATCAACCGACTGGCAAGCGGGGATAGTCGCATCCGTGAAGTTGGCCATGAAAGCCGTGTCGGAGTACTCGAAGGTGCCCGAGTTCTCGAGCTTGTTCTCGACGCAAGCACGGCCAATAAACTCCTCGCACTTCTTGTTCGTGGTGGCGTCGGGCGAGCTGAACAGCTGGCCATTGCCCGCCCACGTCGTGTCGTCGGCAACGGTCTTGACGTCGATGAAGGCGTTGCCCTCGAACAGGCCCTGTCCGTTGGTGTCGCCCTCGATCGCGTGCCCGTTGTTGTCGTCCCACACGTTGTTGCACGCGTGGAAGAGCGTCGACCCGCTGAGCGCGGGGCTGCGGCCCGAGCCCTTGTACAGGTAGTTGTTGCGGAAGGTGATCTGGTCGTCGGCGCCGACGAGCTCCATGCCCCAGTACTGGTACCCGTCGCAGGCCGTCGAGTACGGCGTGCTGCCGTTGATGAAGTTGTTGGACAGCTCGATGCGCGAGTTCGCGCCGTGACCGAACACGTAGTGCACGCGGCCCGTCTCCGACGTCTGTGTTCCTCGTTAGCTGTGCTTCGTTGGGCAGGGTGTGCGTTCGCATCCTTACCGTCACGTGGTCAATCCAGATGAGGTCGCTTTCGTCGAAGCTGAGGCCATCACCACCCCAGACGTACTTGGGGTTAAGTTCGGTGATCTTGATGTTTTGGACAATAATGTTGGTGGCGTTGGCCCTGAAGCGGAGGCCCTTGCCCCTGATGACGCCATTGGAGCCCTCGCCCAGCAGCGTCTTATTCGAAGTGACGTCGATGGGCTTCTTGCCCGCGTTGTCGTACGTCGCGTCAACGCTGTCCTTGTCGCCGCAGCCAGATCCCGTGTCGAGCTGCTGCTGGCACGCGTCGCCCGTGCCCCAGTTCACGCACGCCTTGCCTGTCGTCGTGCCCTCGGTGCCGATAAAGTTGAACTCCTCCTTCAGAACAATGACTTGCGGGTCATCGCTCGTGAGCAGCTCCTTGAGCTCGTCAACGTCGGCCGGGTAGACGGGCGTCGCGTCGCCGCCGCCGGTCACGCCCGAGGCAAAACCCTCGGCCTTGCCGGTGACGGACTGGGCGCTGGCGAGGGCGGCGGTGGTGGCGGCGCCGGCGAGGAAAGTGGTAAGCTTCATGGTGGGTAATGAACGGTATTTTATGTACGTGAAATGAGCGTAAGAAGTGTTGCGGTTGAATGAGTGGTGAGCTGCAGTGCAATCTAGGTTAAGGTTGCTCGTGCCTACTATATAGTTCCATGGCAGGGAGCAGCCAAGCGCCCCTCACCAACACTCGCATAAGCATATCTCCAGATCATCTACCTGAAGCTTGACTCTGCGTGGGCCGTTTGGGGCGCGGCATGACAGGTGGAGAAAGGCGCAATGAGGCCGGCTGCCAAGCCCTGGGTTTCGAAACTGCCGAGCCGGATTTAAAAGCCGGGGTGGTGTAGACGGCTTGCCGGCCCCTGGCTTTGGTGCTTTTAATCTATTTTAAAGTGGCCGAGACGGGCTTGGATTTCTCCTCGCGGCCCGGTGCGGCGGGTTTAACGGGGGGGGGACTGGCGCCGTTTCGGGAGGCGGAAGGGAGCACGGGCCGGGCGCGGAACGGGGTAGAAGCAACGCATGCGGGCATGTTTGGCGAGAGGCGCATTGCGGATTTACTGAGCTGGGAAACCGATGGAACCACCTGCCGTGCCCACTTGCCGCTTTGGTCGCAGAATAGGGGCGTCGATGAAGAAACACGGCTCGCTTGCAGCGCGGTAGATGGGGCGGACCACCTACTGTTTCGCATGGAGATCTGTTTCAGCTGACGACCACTTGGCGCGCGCTTGGACGCGTTTGAAACTTCCTTTGCTATTGTACTTGCAATTACCGCTCTTTTTGTTCTGCTAAACCTACCTACTACAACATGTCTCGCTGTGCCGTGCCCACAATAGGAGTCGGTCCCGCTCGACAGCTGTGCCGTCTGCCGTCTGCCGTCTGCGAGTTGACCATCGGGTTGCAAAGGAAAGGGGTTGTCGTTCCACTCAAGCATTCGTGATCCCTTCTATATTCCTCGGGTCTCCGCGCTCTGCTCGAGTAAGCTTCCGCACGCCCTCAACAGGCGGTTTAAAATGACATTTCAAGCCGTTATACATTAAGCTGTTGGTTTCCACATAGCGACCAGGAATCTCTGGTTCTTGCACCAAGGACCTCATCCAGACTTGATCTAGACAAGGGAAGTGGCGTTGCAACCCGAACATCAAGTTCTTCAAGGATCCTTTGGGCGCCCGAAGCCACTCGAAAGAAAGACTCTTCAGGCTGGCTCCAAAGTGCGCCATGAAGAGCAAGTTCGAGTCGAGCCGCTTGGTCCTGAAATACCTGAGGTTCAGGCGCCGCAGTGGCGGCTTCCAGGTCGTGTCGAAGGTGCGGAGGAGGGCCAAGAGCTCGTCAGCGGGGTGCAGGTACGACAGCTGCAAGGAAAAGGTCTCGAGGCTCCGTGCGGATGTGATTAGCTCGGCTATCAAGGCATTCTCGCCGCTGGATGCACGGTAGGCGATGTTGAGATCCAGATCGCGAAGATTCTTGCCCCAGGCCTCCTTGAACCTGGGATTGCGGTACAGGTGCTCCGGCATGCGGTCGGGCTCCAAAGCAAAGCAGACCTCGGGGTAGGATTCCGGAAGCCGATTAGGAGCCTTTGTAAAATACGCTTTATTGTAGGATCCCAGAGTGAAAGCACTGATCAGCCTCCCGGATTCCGAAACGTGGAGCAGCAGCAGCGCCAGGACGTCGGTCAAGGCAACGCCATGCGCATGCGTGGTTGTATCGGGACCTTTATACAAGATTCTGAAGGAGCGGCATTGGGGAAGGCTGTCGACGCACAAGGTGCGCAGAAGCCTGTCAATCGCGGGCGGGAACGGTTCTTTGAGACATCCGGCCGACGAACGATGCCAACGGCCTCCAAGGTCTGTATCTTTTGGCCCGGTGATGCATAGCTCACGAACAGACTGTCTTGCCAATGGATGCTGCGAGATTGCTTCGACTTGGCGTAGGCTGTCGGTGGACAAGTCTGTGGTGAGGGTGTCGAAGTTGCAGGTGCGGAAGAAGAGCGGGCCCAGCTTTGTAGCCAGCTGTCGACAGACGAGACGCGCTGAGCCGAGGTCGTTCTTTTCAAAGTCGCTGCAAATCCACTCAGTCAGCTCGGTTGGGAGCAGATGCAGGGCCGCGCTCATGGTCGGTGGGCGGAGGAGCGAGCGGAGGAGCGAGCGAGCGAGCGGCAGAGCGGCAGAGCGGTGGTGGCGGGGGGATCTCTTGGCACGGCGGAGGGCATGATCCGTGCTTCCTTTTTCCGAACATCCCCCGCGCCCAACAATCGCCCTCCCATCATTCATCTCCGCTAGCCTCTGCATGAGTATTTCATCCCAGAAGGCCGTCAAGCGCATCTCGAGCCGCGCAACGCCATCCGGAACTTCAAGGCCACGCCGTCAGAGCTGTCGAGCGATGATACTGGCAAAAAATATTCGCGCTTGGAGGAAAGGAAAAGGATAGGAAGAGCATAGGAAAAAGGGGCGGCGTGTTTATTGCCGGGGTTGTGGTCGGGAGCGGAGCGGAGATGAGGGCAGAGTTTCGAGAGTGATAGGATGGGGAAGGAGAGAGGAGGATGTTGGGTCGGAGTGTAAAAACTTTCACTCGGAAAAGGTATGTAAACTTTCCGCGGCCTTCTTACTTTCGGACCAGGAAATGCTTGTGGCACATTATCAAGCGCACTCCAAATTTTCAAAATGACCGTTTATTTATACCTGCATAAAGCCACAAAAGGAAAGACGTCCCATACATTCCTCGTTCCCATCGTGTTTTTTTGTTTTCGTTCCCGTAATTGCTATGATCCAGCAGTCCGTCCGCCAACCACGTGTCTAAGCACCAGGGCAGATGTAAGGACCATCAGCCAGGCTGTTTTGAGCGTAGCAGTAGGCGCCATCGCCGCCTCCAGTGCCAGTGCACTAAGGTCTCGTCAGCAGCGAAACTTTTTCAGTGACATCCTAAAGCTTACCGATCCCTTGGTGCACCCGTAGTTGATCAGGCCAATCTTGCAGGAAGTGCCGTTGCATCCCTTTACGTTTGATGTTAGTTCGTTGTTCGAATTACAAGGCTAGATTAAGGCTTACTCCAGTGAAAGCTGGTGATTTGCGCTCCTCGTGGTGAGTTGGGCTGGCAGCGACCATGGTGGTGCCAACAGCGAGGATGGCGAGGACGGTGGCGAGGCTGAACTGCATTGTGCAAGACGGTTGTTGTTGTTGGAGTGGTTGAAGTGAACAGGTGAAGATGGATGTGAGTGATGTCTGGATGGTAAAGATGTACACGGGCTCCGTTTATATAGACAGCGGGAGCGCTCAGCTTCGCCTTCGAGTCCGTCACTCCGGCAGCAGTTATCATGAGAAGAGGGCGCAGCCCGAGGCCCAAAGCTCTTGTCTGAGACCCTTCTTGAATATCTTTACTTGTTGTGCTATAGACCCAACTCGCTTGTGGGGTTTGTCAGGCTACATGGCTATGTTTGTAACCCTCCGGATGTTGCCTACGTATGTTCACCGGCCGTGCATCCGCTATTAGGTAGCTAGTCATCGTTGACCTATTTCCTTATTCAGCCTAGTTTCCTAGTTGAGATAAGCGGACGCAGAGGATACTTCATTTTGATGCTAGGCGGCACTTTGTCTTACTGGAACACGTCACTGTAAGCGAAACCCGGCGCAGAATTCCCTTATGTCCCAGTGCCGTATGCTCCAAAATCTGACACGAGTTTCAACCGTTATCCTAAAATACTCGAGTCACTTAATGATTGGCTCTCGTCTGAGGTTTTCGGGAGTTTTAGAAACCATGCCCTGGGACCTGCAGCGACCTCGTCCCCACATTGGGCAAATCTGTACCTGGGCGGAAGGATTCCGGATAGCCAACGAAGCAACTATCTCAGATTAGGATAATAGGTAGAACTGCGCTTGCAGATCACTCGACCCGATATCGTTTAGGTGCCGAGAATCACGCCGTGGGGGCGGAAGCTGGTCAACTTCATCGATTAAGAACCGGGAATAGTGTTGGTGTATGTCTCACTTTCCCCGCATTTCCTACAAAATTCATTGTCGTGTACTTCAGGAAACAATACTCTGATTGCTTTGTTCCTTTAGTGCTTGAGATGCGAAAGAGCAAACATGGCTTTGCTATGTCCGTCTCGATTGCATTTGCCCTGCGAATTTACGATAGCGAATAATCTCAGATTTGGAGACTATAGCGAATAATGTTAATGTTGAGAAAAAAGGTGGGGGCGAAATGTACCGTCGCAATGGTGCATCGTTTTGGATTCCTAGGTCTCTCCGATGCGCCCAAAAGAGGAAACGATCAACGCTGTTGATCGATCTCACGGCACTTCATTGATCTGCCAGAATTTCAGGCATCCTTCGGCAGCCCGGCAAACCTTACTCTCGAACAACACCCTTGTATTTTTTTTTTTTTCTGAAAAGGCTATAGCTATGGTAGGCGCAGTCCCGATATCGGATGCATGGTGAAAGTGGATCCAAAAACATTAGTGAACTCGAAAAAAATGAAAAATTGATGCGAGACAAGAAATTCAAATTGGTGAAGGATTGGCAAAGGTTTTTCTAGCGTTCTACAAAGTGAGACAGCTAGCAGTGGCCGATATTGGAGCATAGCAAATCAGTGACTCTGTCAACTTGCATCGATTTGCCACTTGCCGGCAGTGTCTCCAACAACAACTTGTTTCACTTGGACTTGGACTGAGACTTCCTCGTCCATAGCATCATCAAGTTTGGCAGCTATAACCCGCAAAGCTATAGCATGAATTGCTGTTTTCGTTTGCTGCTAGTGTCTCGGTGGGCTTCCTAGAGGGTCTCGAATCATCCTTCCACTTAACCAATTGTGCTATTTTTCCTACCGAGCTGCGATCCTTCGGCTTCTGCGGACAAAGTGGTGCCACCGTGGCTTGGTTTGTAGCATCGATGTCGGAGTATCTACCGAGTAGTGGGCACGAACATCCCTGTACCTGCATGTTTGGAGACTGAGGCTTAGACTTAGAGCTGGCAGTATCAGATGGTTATGATGCATGCTGACGTGAGTGCTTCCAGTGATGTATTTCTCCTCCCTCGTAGATAGCACTGTGCTCAGACTGAGTTCCTTCTGTCTTACAACTTGTTCACTGTCTTTGGTCTCTACGCTACTACCTTTCTCTGTTGTATGTGTCCTATTTCTGTTTGTCTTAAGCTGCAGGAGGTATATTATAAGCAGACACAATTTGTTGGACTATCAGACCACATTTCTTCATGCATTATTCTTTATATTCACCTTGCTTTTTCGTTGTCTCAACACCCTGTTACTTTCTATAAGCGA